CAGCCTCTCCCTGCTCATCTCCCGCCTTCATTCCAGCGCTCTCCCTCAGCCCCGTCGAGAGGGACCCGTGCTGGACCGCTCAGGATGGGCAAAATGGGAGGGAACGGGAACGCGGGGTCCAGGCTTCTGCAGCAGCACCGCCAACCTCCCCGCGCCGGCTTCGCTCAGCACGCTTCATGTGATCAAGCAAGCTACCAGGCCTTCTCCTTTTTTTGAGTTAACAATTTAATAATAGAATTTTTCTTTAAAAATAAAAACCTAAGCTTGTCAGGTTAAAGATCAGTAGTTTTAAGTGCTTATTTTTGCAGTCGTAGCTGCGAAGCCGCTCTGTGCGTCGAGGATCAGTAGTACCGGCGCGGGGCCGGGGCGAGGGCGTCACTGCATGCAGGCGTAACGCCAGTCCGGCAGGGGCACGTGCGTTTCCTTGACGGCCTGGGGAGACGTCCAGCGCAGGACGTAGTGGGGGCCACCCGGTTTGTCGTTGGTGCCTGTTTCAGAGGGAACGAAAGGGCCGGTGAGCAGGAGAGGGAGGACGGGGCCGTGCCCGGAGGGGGATGCGGCTCCGTGTGCCAGCACCAGCCCGGAGCTTCTGGTCTCACCTGAGATGCGGGAGCCTCCGAAGGGCTGCTGAGCCACGACGGCGCCCGTCGACTTATCGTTGATGTAGAAGTTGCCGGCTGCGTTGCGCAGGAGGGTCCTGGCTTCGGCGACGATGCTCCTGTGGAGGGACAGCAATGGCCGTGACCACAACGCGACGGCAAAGACCTCTGCCCTTCTACAGCAATTAAAACTGCGCAAAAAAAGTGTGTTTGCATTTCTTTGCACCCACTTCCAGGACTGCATGGTGTTTAACACACGCTGAAAGGGGTCATGTACACTTAGAACTCAAATTATCCCAATTTTGGTTTATAGTTTGTTTCTCCTTTTAAGTTTTATTGTTACAAAATGAAGGTGGTTATAGCTTAAGGACGGTCCCCCTTTGATGTTACGCTGCTCTTAAGCAGGAGGAGGGCTCAGCAGGCTGGGGACACATCTCCTGTATGGTCCAGGTGTCGCCTTTGGGATAGTTTCTCACCAAAAAAAAAGCACTTTTGGGCTGAGAAACCACCTTAGGTGCATCATCCCCTTCCCTCCGCAGCAGGAGGAGGGCTAACAGGAGCTGGAGCCTTGCAGGAGATGCTGCCTCTCCCCCTCGCCACGCAGCGCAGGGCTCCGGAGAGGCTCTGGAGGGACAGGACAGGAGCTCGACGGGTGACCCCAGAAATGGAAGAGCATCCTTCGGGCTCTTACTTCTCCCGGGCGAAGATTGCCCCCGTGAGGCCATAGGGCGTTGTGCTGTCGACCAGCTCCAGCACCTCCCGGTACCGCTGCTCCGGGTACACGTACACCGTGAGGACAGGCCCGAAAATTTCCTGCACAGCAAAAAAACCCAAAGCACTCGGTGAGGGCACCCTCTGAAAACAAGCGGTGGGCGCTTCTGCACCCCATTAGATAAAACCATGATGAGGAGGAGCATCCCTGCATCAACTTTCC